TTTTCCCATATTCCAAATAAATTGTATTTACCCAAAAAAATCGTCGATTTGACGAGAGTTTGTTGTATCGACAATGCTATAATTAACAAAGTATTATCAATAAATTAGAAAAGGCTAGTAAGAACGTTTGAGCGAAATATTGAAAGATTCAGATGTCAAAACAAATGATATTTCGTAGAAAACTAGCATGTGAAGCTAAATTTGATAATTTTGAACTTAATTGTAAAATTGGTAGAGTTTTAGGCTTTGAAAAATTCAGAGTGACATTGAAGTTTCGTTCAAAAAGTTTCTATTGTATACTGAAAAAAATCCTATGAATAATGCCAAAATGCATGGAGACATGGTAATGACAACTGAAGCTTTTTACGATAATGTTTGAGAGAATTAAAATACTACCGTTGACCACTGCCTATAGTATCTGAATAATACCAGATGCTAGTCACAAACTAGCGACTTCATTGGTGGATAAGGGACTTTTTATTATGTAGTAGGATATTCTTTTGGAGATACTATAATCAATGGACAACGATACATTACTGACCAGCTGTATAACGCCAATCGTTTCAAGACTGTTTCGTCGGTTACCTCTTTTTCATCATTAATGTCATAAACAAAATAATCTTGATATACAGACTCTTGACGACGTGTAATGTAATTGCCGATAACAAAGGACGAATCTTTTGGGTTATATTTTATTTTATCGATAGTAACTGCATCTGAACTATTTTCTGCTTGCGGTGTAATATTAGTTGCTTCTAAGACGCAAGTACCAAACATGCCATGGTTGTTTATTACATGATAATCTTTTTCTCTAAAAGCCGGATATTTCCCGCTTTTGAATACTAGTGGATATTTAATACTAAAACTGAAGTCTGTTGGTGGTCCGAATATAATCCATCCAAGTTTAATTTTAACTTTATTTCTAGATATTAGTTTAGCCTTTTCACCCCTTATATGGTGAATAACAATCACCGGGCGGTTTTTATTTCCATCCATATAATCCACATATAGAGAAAATATATGTTTTTTTCTCGCTCACAATTGAAGCAAGAATATTGCATTCGCTAATATTTATGTTTTTATTAGGTATCGGTAATCTATGAATACATGGTTTCTTATTCTTTTCATATTCTTTTATGCTGAACGGGATTTCTACAACATTTGCTAATTGTTAACAGAGAGATTCATAATTAGAATCTTGATTAAAGATATAAATAAATT